TACGGTGACCTCTCGGATGCCAGCGACCTGAAGACGCCCGAGAAACAGAGCACCAATGGATCCTTCTCCTGTGACATGGCGGTCCCCAAAAACAAAATGGAGTCTGACGGGGAGAAGAAGTACCCCTGCCCCGAGTGCGGGAGCTTCTTCCGCTCCAAGTCCTACTTGAACAAACACATCCAGAAGGTGCATGTCCGGGCCCTCGGGGGCCCTCTGGGGGACCTGGGCCCTGCCCTTGGCTCGCCTTTCTCTCCCCAGCAGAACATGTCTCTCCTTGAGTCCTTTGGGTTTCAGATTGTTCAGTCGGCGTTTGCATCATCTCTGGTAGATCCTGAGGTCGACCAGCAGCCCATGGGGCCTGAGGGCAAGTGAGGCAGATGCTGCGTCCCCGCAGAAACGGCCACCGGGGACCGCTGAGAAATGCTGTGAATGCGGAGGGAAGTGGTGTCTTTGGGTTCTGTAGCTGAGAGATTTTTATTCGTTTTTAACTCCCCCTCCAGCCCTGTCACCCACCCCTAACCCCCAATGGTCTTTAGAAATAGATTCTCATCTGATACTCAGCAGAAATATCTGTGAGACTCGGTATGGGATGAGGGCAGAAAACACTACACAGGCCTCCAAGGCAACACCAGGGCTGGTTTCTCTAACAGGCGGAAGCTGGAGCTCCTGGTGCTCAGGCTTAGTGACCCCAATTCCACACCTGCACCTGACAGCATTCTGGGACCTCGGTGATTTTGGTCCCCTGCCCCTTCTCTAATCCCTCATTCCCCCTTCTCATCTCCCTCAAAAGATACCACAGTAGGGTCTCCGCCCACTTACACAATGCTGATGCCCAACTGTTTTTAAGGAAGCTGGAAGCCTACAGCATCCCGTGGACCATGGGGTGAGTGTCCTCTGAGAGCCCCCTGAGCTTGACCTTTGACCCGGAGGGCCCCAGACCTTTCTGAGCCCTGCTTGAAGGCTAGCATTTTGCCACTAGGACAAGCTTAGCAATCAAGGACACTCCTACCCCAAATTTCAGTTCTTAGGTGATTTTAACCATTCAACTTGCTGTTGGGTTTTAATTCTCTAATTATTATTATTATTGTTATTATTTTTTAGGACCAGTTGTAGTGAATTGCTACTGAAAGCTATCCCAGGTGATACAGAGCTCTTTGTAAACCGCAGTCACACGTTAGGGTTTAGGATTAAACTTTGTTTAGATGTACCATAATTAACTTGGCTAGTTGATTGTTTGGAGTCTATGGAAGAAATAGTTTTATGCAAAATTTTAAAAATGCCAGTCTGGTCAGGGAGGGAGGGGGTTTCAGTGCTGTTGGAAGGCAGGAGAGCTGGCAGGTGGGGACATCATACACCTCAGTTGTATCACACGTGAGCAAGCCAAGGTTGACCCTGTGATGTGAGTTGATCTGATCAGACTGTATTAAAAATGTTAGTACGTTACTCTGCTTGCTCCCCTGAGTCTGGTTTTTCTCTGGGACCCAGAGGGTGGGCAGTCTGTGCCCCTGCACCTGGGTGGGGTGGGATCCCAGGAGACCTCTCTTCCTCTTCACTGCACCAGTCCCACTGGGATTGACAGGTGGGTGCTTCCCCTGCAGACTCAGCTGCCACCATCCACCCACCCGCTCTCTCCTGGTCTTCACTGCTCTGTGCCCCAGACCCTGGGGTACAGTGGTGCATGGGACACCCTTGTGGAGCTTAAAGGGAGAGAGGGAACCAGTAAGCAGATTTAACCACAGAGTTCAGATAGGGAGACATCCAAGGAGAGAAACGGGCAAGGGAGGGATAGTGATGGCGGGAGAGCAGGTAGGTGGTCCAGGCTGGTGAGAGGTGGGGGTGGGACTCTGGAGGGAGACCTGGAGCCAGAGAGGACCAAAGAAGCTAGGACCTAAGGGGGGATGTGGGCAGGGAGAAAACTCTCAGGGCGGCTCTAAGAAGCTCAGCAACTTGAGTCCCCCCTAACCCTGTGCTACCCAGAGGTTAAGTAAAAGGCTGCTGTACCCTTAGTGTGAATGTATGAGGAGAAGGGGAAAGAGAACAGCAAACAGACAAGAAGTGAGCACAATGGAGAACTAATGGGAGCAAGAGTCAGAGCACGAGGGCACAGGCAGACTGTTGGCAGCCTGGGTGTCGAGGGAAATCCCGAACTAACAGATAGCATTTAAGCTCCAAACAGGTAGAAAAGAAAAGAGTGACAAAGGGGAGAAAAATAAACAGACCGGGAGGAGCAAACAAAGCACAAAATGATTTAGACCCACATTAATACTAGTAATAACATTGTTCTGGCTTAAAGGCAAAGACTGAGCTGGATGTCTTTTTTTTAATTGAAATATAGTTGACATACATTATGTCAGTTTCAGGTGTACTGCATAATTTGAGCTTTGCCTACATTAAGAAACCATCACCAGGGCTTCCCTGGTGGTACAGTGGTTAAGAATCCGCCTGCCAATGCAGGGGATGTGGGTTCAAGCCCTGGTCCAGGAAGATCCCATATGCCGCGGAGCAACTAAGCCCATGCACCACAACTACTGAGCCTGCGCTCTAGAACCCGCAAGCCACAACTGCTGAGCCCACGCACCGCAACTACTGAAGCCCATGCGCCTACAGCCCCGTGCTCCGCAACAAGAGAAGCCACCACAATAAGAAGCCCGTGCACCGCAACGAAGAGCAGCCCCCACTCACTGCAACTAAAGAAATCCGCATGTAGCAATGAAGACCCAACACAGCCAAAAATAAATAAATAAATAAAATTTTTAAAAATCTTAAAAAAAAAACTATCACTAGCATAAGTCTAATAACCACCTGTCCCCATAAAAAGTTATCACATTACTGACCATATTTCTTGAGCTGTATATTACATCCCTGTGGCTTGTTTTATAACTGGAGGTTTCTACCTCTTAATCCCCTTCAGCTATTTTGCCCCCGCCTTCCACACTTCCCCCAGCTGGATTTTTTTTCTTTTAAACCCTAAGCACCTACATGAAATCTTGAGTAAGTTGCTGGGCTCTGTGGAGTGTGCGGGATGGAGGCTTTGGGCCCTTTGGGGTGAGTGTCAGAGGAAAGGGCAGGCCCAGAATGCTGAGGCCCCGTGGACGGGCAGCCTTGTGACCACCACAGAATCTGCCAGCTGGGGACACCCAGCGGGCATTAAAGCAGAGAACCAGGCCTTGAACCAAGGTCTTCATTGGAGACTTCTCGGTCCTGCCCCCACAAAAGCACCGGTCACGTCTGTGGACAGGCAGGCGCCTATCCACAGTATCTGTCACCTGGCAGGAGTGGGACGACAGAGCAAGCACTACTCACTGAGGCCTGGGCAGCAAGCAGAGGCCTCTGGCCCCTTGCCTGGCGTCTCCTCGGGCTCCTCGGGCTGTGGCGAGAAAAGCTGTGCAGAACGTGGTGCATAATGGCGGGGCGGCTCCTCTTGTCCTGGTCAAAGGTGAAGGCCCTAAGTTCTGGCTGTCTAGCCCCACCATCTGCCCACCCCCAACCCCGGGCAAATTTCTGAGCCTTGGTTTCCTCACCAGGAAAACGGGCTGTGAAGACTAAGGAGGCCTGAGCTAAGCTCTGTGCCTAATTCTCAGCACAGCCTGTGAGGTGGGTTCCATTACTCCCCCTCCTGCAGATGAGCAAACAGGCTGAGAGGTGGAAGCATCCCTGCCCTGCCCCCACCCTCACCCTACCCCAGCCCTACCCCACCCGGCTCCCACCCCCAACACATAGGAACGGGTAGAGCCAGGATTCAAACTCAGGTCTGTCCTCTGACTCCAGAACCTCTGTTCCCAAGCTCCAGTAACAGTGTCTCTATACACAAGAAAATGCCCACTACTGTGGCTGGCACAGAGCAGGCTCTCTACTCTCCTAGTCCCCCAGGACAGGGGCCAGCACAGGGCAGCAGAAAAAAGCCACAGAGGAAGTCAGGGTCAGTGCCAGAGGGAGTGCCCAGAGAGCTGAGTGAGTGAACACACTCTTCATCCTGAGACTGACCCTCTGGGCTCCAGAGCCACCCTAGGCCCCCACTGAATGAAGGTGTTCCTGGCACCACCAGCAGCCTGGTCGACTTGCTCAGGGCAGACCTGTCACACCAGGAAGCCTGTCCAGCCACTGCCCCATGGCCTGGGCCAAGGCAGGAGCACTGGCCTCACCTCCCCAGGGCAGTGATTACCCACAGGGAGGCCCCGTGGCACCAAGGGACCCCGGCACATATGGTTACAAAGAAACATGACCACTGACAGCCGGGAGTGGGTGGGGCCTGTGAGCCTGTGGCCAGTCTCAAGAGGTGCTTCTGAGATACTTTTACAGCTGTGGCAACTCTCCAAGCCTTGGCCTCCCCTCTGTGAAGTGGGGACGACCACACAGACTTGCAAGGTTGTAACAAGGCTGAATCACACACATCCGGTGCATCCTCTGGACGTGAGAGAACCCCGGCCCCTTCCCTGGCCCCCTGTTTCTAGTCTCTGCCTTTCTCTCTCCAGAGCCTTGTGGGGGTCCCCAAAACAAACTCTCCACAGCAGCTTGCCTCCTCTGGATTTCCCTGCTCCAATCCCACACTTTCTACTAGGGATGCCCCAAGCACAAGCCCCCACTTGTGCTCTTGTTTTTCAAATATCAGGCCTTTATTTGGGCCAACCTGCAGTCACATCCTGTGCTTAACAACAATAAGCAAAATAACAATGGTACTAAGCGCCAGGCACCCTTCTAAACACTTTACACTTATAAATCTGTTTACCCTCCAATCTCCCAAAGAGGTACGTGCTGTTATTACAATTAAGCAACTTGCCCCAAACACATGGCTTTGAGTGGTACGGTAAGGATCTGAACCCAGGCCCAGAGCTGCATCTTCATTGCGACCCTGCACTGGGGCATGTCCTTGCCTCTCGGCTCCACACTCAGACCCTCCCCTTCTCAGCAAGTCCCACTGGCCCCCAGCCCCGAGCCTTTACCCTGGAACACCCTCCACCTGGAAGGCTCTTCCTTCACAGCCCTGTGCATCTGAGTCTTACCGTTTCCATGGCCTTGTTTGCCTCTGCCCTCCTCCGACCTTCCACGGCGCTGCACCTGCCCCTTCCCCGGGCGGTCACCAGGGGCCCTGTCTCATGGTGGTCTCCAGAGATGGCCAGCGGGTGCAGATCCCAGCACCACCTCTTTCTAACCGGGTGTGCTCTGGCAGGTGCAGCTCTTATTCTCGCAGCTGCTGTGAGGATTACACGGGCTGGTACCTGTAAAGCAAATTAGGAAACACTCAGAAAGCTCCCTTTTAGTTTGCCCGCATTATTATCTCCTCCACCAGACTACACCCGCACAAAAATGCACAATAGCAGGGACAGGCAAACTTTTGTAAAGAGTTAGAGGGTGAACATCATCAGCTTTGTGAGCCGTGTGGCCACTGTCACAGCTGTTCCACTCTGCTGTACAGGAGTAGCCAGGCACAGACACAGCTCGGTTCCAACAAACCTTCATTGATGGACACTGAAATTTGAATGTCATATACTTTTTACGTGTTACAAAATATTCTTCGAGTTTTTTCCCAACCATTTAAAAATATAAAGCTCATCGGCTGTACAAAACCAGGTGCAGGCTGGCTCCTGTACAGCCCGAGTCTGCCAACCACCACTCAAGACCAGCTTCTCTTTCTGCTCCTCCGGGCGGGCCTCTCTCTCTTGGCTTCAGAGCTCAGATTTCCCCCAGATTCGGGTCCCAGCCTATGGGACATAAGCTCACGGTTTATGTGAGTAAAATGGATCCGACACCCAGAGCTTGTGATTTCTTGGTCTGCCGATCAATCCATTGATCCCTGCGGAGTGCAATGCCACGTCCCCCAAACAAGGTCGTTCTAAGGAACTACAGAGCCCACACAAAGGAGAGCCTAGTGTGCCCAGAACAAGAACTGCCTGCCCAGTTTTCTAGTCATTTTGTTTTCATTCATGTATCTTGGGTTCAGGGGCAGAGGAGGCAGGACAGAGGGAAGAGGGTAGGTGGCGAGCTGGCAGATGTGGGAGTGGGAGAAGTGGGGAATGAGGTCAGTGACTGAGTCCTGTTCTTGTCTGCTCTGGTTCTTCCCGGCTTTCCCCGAAGGTTTGTGCTCAGAGGCACCAGGGGTGAAGTGAGAGCTGCCAGTTTTGGCAGTGAGCTCAGAATTTCAGTTCTCTTGAGGGCCTTGCAGGAGGAAATTCCACAGGCGTGCCCTCTCTTATGTTGAGTGGTGAGGCCAGACTCGCCCTAAAGTTATCCTCAGAGCCCCACCAGTTCCCACCAGTTCCCGTAACCATGCCAGCTGCCCAGCACCTGGCAGCAGGCCTCCAGGACTCCAGTCTTTACACACCCCATCTCTGCCCTTCTCTTTGTGGCCACCGGCCTGACCCTTCTGGGATCCCCCGAGGTGCCTGTTGGACCCTGAGGCTCACTGGGGAGAGCGAGGTGGGCAGAATGTCTATCTGGACCTGCATCTCTCGCTAAACCGTGTGAAAGGAAACGCCAAACATTCATCTAAGAGATGAATCTGTCCTAAGAAAACAAGACTCTTTTGAAGACAAGGCAGTGCGGAGGTAGGCACCTCTGAATAAAGCTCTTTGTATCGCTGTGGATGCCACAACAGGAAAATCACTGACTTTTGCTTCAGGGAAAGCCTGTGGCCTGCACTCAGCCTGGTGCCCCACCCGGGGCCAGTCCACACCGGGCAGAGGCCGAGGCCTGTGGCTCTGAGGACGGACCTGCAAGACTGTCCTCACCTCTCCCTTCTTAAAGGGCATTCGTTCTCTTCTGATTCTCTCCTCTTCCGAATCAGAATCTGTGCCCTGAGCCTGCTGGATGTCCTGGTGTCCACATTGAGAAACACAAACTCCACACGTGGCAGGGCCTGTGTTTATTTTTTTTTATGCTTTTCTCTGGATGATGATAAACTATTTGCTTTTTCATGTCCTTTCCTCCACCTGTAAAGTCCTTAACTCTTGTCTCGCTGAAGAACTCTTATTCATCTTATTCAGCTCAAGTGGCCCCTTGTCTACAAAGTTTTCCCCGCTCCCTCCAGGAGGAGGCAACTTTCATCCTCACATCATTGCTTTGTACCACGAACTGTGCCGGGGCCTCACGTACATCAAGAACTCTGTGGAGTAGGTACTGTTTAATCTCACTGAGGCCTAGAGAGGCCAAGTAATTGCCCATGTCACACAGCTGTGCAGTGGCAGAATTAAGACCCGAATCCTGAACTGTCTGACTGTGGGTCCCAGGGCCCCATCACTGTGTGCCATCTCCTCTGTGCCAGCTCCCTGTTCTGCACATATTACTTTTACATCACGCTTTATGGATCTATCTCCCCATATGAGGCCAGGTTTTGCGGCAAATGGGGTTCATGCAAAGATAATTCGTCTCTGTATTCCCAAAACCTAGAATAATGCTTGGCACTTAGCAGCTGCTGATTTGACAGATGTTCTGAGTGGGCGACTGTGCCAGGAAGGACTGAATTCCTGCTCTCAAGGAGCTTAAACACACAAAGCAGGACAGGACATGGGACATACACATAAACAAATGTCTGAACCACAAGAGAGAACGAGATATGAGAGGGGAGGGAAAGTAAATGCTATGATGGTTTGGAGAAGGTCTGAGAAGGTGGTGGCATTAGAGCAGGACCCTGGAGCATGCTTAGGACTCGGAGATGTAGGGATGGGTGTGGGGGAAACTGGGGGGGGGGTGCTCAGAGAAGGGAAGAGGTGGGCAAGCTTGCTCTTGAAGTCCAAATACCAAATACCAGCTGACAAAGTGACAAATGCCTTCATGTCATCAAGGGAGAAAAGGGCCATTTCAGACTGTGTAGGAGCTGCTAGAAAAAGTCAGCCAGCAATCAGACAGTGAAGAAGAGCTGGTTGGGGCAGACCATGCTCCAATATCTGAACAAAGACATTTTCCTAAGAGGACTATGCAGCCAGCTTTTTTTTTTTAATTAATTAATTAATTTTATTTTTGGCTGCGCTGGGTCTTCGTAGCTGCGTGCGGGCTTTCTCTAGTTGTGGTGAGCAGGGGCTACTCTTCATTGCGGTGCATGGGCTCTAGGCACATGGGCTTCAGTAGCTGTGGCTTGCGGGCTCTAGAGCACAGGCTCAGTAGTTGTGGTGCATGGGCTTAGTTGCTCCGTGGCATGTGGGATCTTCCTGGACCAGGACTCAAACCCATGTCCCCCTGCATTGGCAGGTGGATTCTTAACCACCGCGCCACCAGGGAAGTTCCTGCAGCCAGCTTTAAATAACAAATCTTCTCTCATTAAAATAGTAACTCCCCCCCATTTATTCAGCACACGGTTTTTCTGATTCTCGTGACTGTGACTGGGCAGTCGTCCTCATTTCACAGATAAGAAAATCGAGGTTCATATATCTAGCCCAGAATAAAAAGCCTGAGATTTAGAGTCAGCAGATCTTGGCTCCAGGGCTCACTCTTACTTTCCTGTACTGATAGAAGAACTTTTTTGGAAAATAATTTGTTAGAATTTATCAAGAGTCTAAAAATGTTCATATCCTTTAAACCAGTAATTCTACTTGTAGGAAGCTATCTAACAAAGTGATACTAAAGAGCTTACGACACAAAGATGTACATAAAATGTGAAAGCAGCCTAAATAGCTGGTTAATATACAGCCACTTAAAAATGATTACAACAATGTTCAATATCATAGAGGGAAATGTTTATATTAAAAGTGGTTATGAGAAAACAGCAGGTTATGAGAAAATAAAATTGCCTAGGTGGTAACATCTGAAAAATGTTAAAAAGATGCATGGAAAAAGAGTGGAAGAAAATGCACTTGCAACTGGTTTATTGGGGTATCTCATCCTGTATAAATGTGAATCCTTTTTTATATCTTTCAATAGCTGCCCTTAGTAACACCATGTCTAAGCCCTTTTTCTCACTGGGTAGCTTAATGACGGACACCATAGATTCTCAACTACTTTCAGAAATTAGAATAGTCTCCTTCTGGTTTTTCAGATTCATTTAAAATGTTTATACAAATAAAAATACTCACTTAAAAATGTCCAGGTCAAGCTCTCCTTCAAAGCTCTCGGCCTCCACTCCCAGGGAAGCTAGATGTGGCCATGGCCCTGGTGGCCTGAGTGGAGGGTGGCGGAAGGCGGTCTGTCCCTTGTCACATCCCCCCTGCTCCTGTCTGCGGCGGGGCTGTGGACAGGGGCCGGGAGGCCATGGGGAAGTGGCCATCTCTCTGTTGGTTGGCTGCTGCTCTTCAAGACTGACTGGCTGTCGTCTCTCTCTGTGTGGCAGCATCCAAAAATTGGCTCTCTTGTGCAGAACCCTTCTGAATCTCAGCTTTCTTACCTGCAAAATGGAAAGAAAATGCACTCCCTTATGTGGGTGACGTGAAAACAGAGTAAGATAACATGACTGGGAACACTGTCAACTGTAAAGCACAATGTAAATGTCATTAGCTATTATTATTCCTCTGAGGAGCCTATTCTTTGAAACATCTACTGTTATTTGAAGTGGATACCTTTACTCACAGAACGTAAAAACAGAACTGATGAATTTTCTCTCAGACCTACTGTTCTCCAGCCCCCTCACCTCAGTAAAGGGTAGCACGTACTCCTGGGGATGCAGGCCAGGCCTCTGCAGGCAGCCCGGGCTCTCTCCTCCTCTCACACCCAACATTCACTCCACCTGCAGGCCCTGCTGGCTGTCCATTCAACCGTATCTGCAAGTCAAGCGCTCCTTCACTTCTGCTACTACCCCATCCAGGCCACCTCACCTCTCTCTGTCCTCCAGTTGGTCCCCCTTCCCCACCTTTGCCTCCCCGTGATCAGTCTCAGCAGCCAGAGTGAGTCTTTTTAGACATCAGTTGGTTCATGTTACTCTGGGCTCCATCTGACGGCTTTCTCTCTGACGGTTTTCCATCTCACTCAGAGCGAATCCAAATCCCTCACCGAAGTGTACAAGGCCCCTCATGACCTGGCCCCTGGTTCTCTCTCTGACCCTCCCTCCCTCGCCCGGCTCCAGACACAATGGTCTCCTCACTGTTCCTCTCACAAGCAAGCACGTGCCTGCCTCGGGGCCTCTGCACTTGCTGTCCCCTGCCTCACAGGGCTTGCTGCCTCACTTCAGCAGGGCTGTTCTCCCTGACCACCAAATTTAAAACGACGTACTCCTACCTTATCCCTTTCCCCTGATTCTTTTTCCTTCTTAGTACCTAGCACCCCTGACATACTGTATACTTATATAAGTGTATGGTCTGCCTTCCCCCATTAGAATGCAGTACACTGTCCACTGCTCCATCCCCACCACCCTGCACAGAAATTAATTCCTTCCAAACAGTTCATTATAAGGACTGCTTCATAGTTATACCTGCCCAAGTCCAATGGCAATTTTCATGCCCTGGGGTTCTTCTGGATTGGGTTCCCTTCCTTGTGTATTGGGGAAACGCTATACCCTGAAAGGGAACAAAAGCCTATTTTCCATGTTCAGTTCAGCGTGCAATTACCCTGGCACTTGCGGCTTGGGGGTGGAGAGAAGAAGAGGGGCTCTGCCCTTAGCATCTGACCATCTTCAACCCTCTTCCAGACACCTGCAGCTGGCTGGAGTCAGGCGAGATGCATTCTGCCACAGCCCACTTTCTGGGAAGTTGTGCCGTGGAAAAGACAAATACATGTAAATAACCAAGAAATGTGATGGAAGGGGTTGACAGATGTGGGGAATTTATTATATTTACAGACAGTGGAGGGAGGAGCCCCCACAGAAACATGCACCCAGAGTTCCACAGAGTCATTACTTGTCTTTAGAGCTAGGAGGTGGGGTCATGTATCCCACGTGGGACCATGAACTCTGGGGATGCTCCCACCTACGTTCACCACCCTCCTGGCCTCAATTTTCATGGAGGCTGAGATAAAACTCTGTAGCCCCTCTGCTTGCCTGGTGACCATGTCTAACCCCAGGCTGCTTTGTCTTAAGGGGAGAAGGAGCCCATCTCTATTGTCAGTATAGGCCCCAATCCCCACACAACGACCAGCTCATTTACGGGCCCATGTGGTCTTCCAGTGCTGAGGCCTCAACCCTGCCCTCCTGACTTTGTGGGCAGTGGCCCACCTTCCCTGTCCCTTACCCAGAAAGCTGCCCTTCCCAGAACGGTTCTCAAGCTGCTCTTCTCCTACTGAGACCTGCCTGGACTAGCCCGGGCACTTCACAACAATGTTCTACTTTCCCTTGGCAGAACTTGGCTCTGGCTCCAGTCTTACGCCACCAGAGGCACCTGTATGCAGCTGCCCAGGAGTGGCCAGCAGGGGGAGCCAGGAAAATCCAATCCAGACTCTGCAGCTGGACAGAAGCAGTGGCGAGGCTCAGGTAAGTTCCTCCTCATTTAAGATACACAGAACCAAGTGCACTGTTAAAACAGCTGAGTGTGAGGTTCAGGTGAGTGGAAAGCCAAACAGAATACATCCAGTCAGTCATCAACAACTCGTTATTAAGCACCTTCTACCTGCCAGCCTAGACCCTCATATAGAGAAATTCTTAGCCTCCAACGTAAGGGTTGATGACCTGGGAGAGCTGATGAGAGGAGGTCCAGGCACTAGGAACACAGGGAAGAGGCATGACAGGTTCCCAGGACACCGGGAGTGGGAGGCACAAAAGAACAGAGTTTGAGGCCAAAAAATTCCTGTGATTCTGCCAGTACAACAACACTGCCAGAGAGAGAACGACCGGCCCAATGAAGCTGCTAAAACCAATCTAAATGAGAGCTCACATCCTAACATCTGAGGGAAACCACTTCAAGAGTAAGTAGAAACTGAAAACTTGATCAATATACTAATTTTGGTTCAAAATAATCCAGTGGGGAGAGGGAGCGAAAGGGGGTAGAGATGAAACACGATTGGCCATATATTGATAATTCCACAAGCTGGGTGACAGGTACCTGGTAATTCATTACATTATCCTCTCGACTTTTGCATCTGTTTGAAAATTCCCATAGGAAAAGTTTATATATACCAACAAGTTGGTCAATAACCACTAGAGCCAAGTTTCACAGAAGATACCCTGTTTGTTATGGGAGAAAACTGGGCATCTCTGCTCATCCAAAATCCCTAAAGAGCTCAGGACACCCTGAAGCTGTGAACTTTCTCTCCTGCCCCTCCTCTCACAGGTCTGCTGCCAGAGCCAATGATCTTGATCTGTTAAGGAGCAGCACAATGCGTGCAAGTCATTTCACTGGGTCTCCTTACCTGGTTATTCACAAGAGCAGGGAAGAAGAAACTCAAGACCTCCCCTGGGGAAACTACTGAAATGTAAATTCTATCTTCTGTTGCCCAATAGGAAAGGAGTGTTTGGTTAGGATGACAAGACGAGAATCCATGGGAGTGAGGGATGAATTCTGTTCCTAGTAGCACTGTGTGGTCACTGGGCAACCTGAACAAGTCCCATTCTCTCTGGGAGCTCCTCCTTTCTAAAGACAGGGACATATTGCATATGGAAACAGCACTTGTAGGTGCTTGTTTTGGCAGCACGAGAGAAGTTCAAAAGATAGTTTTTTCCCATGTGTCTCCTCAGCAGTATGACAACTCAGGGATAGTAATTTACAAAAAAGTATACAGCAGATCCTAAGGCCGGTGCCACTCCTGACCTCTGGAGAGCTCTGGTTCAAGAAAGAGGTCAGAAATTCAATTCACAACTGGCAGGAAGTACTGGGTCTGGGCTGAGGCAGGTGGGAGTGGTCCTCCAAGTTTCTGGGAGCATGAATTAAAAAACTCAGCCAGCATTCCCTGACATCCAGCGGGTGAGGCTTGATAGCTAATGAGTCTGGGTCCAGAAAAAACAGTGCAAACAAGGCTATCTAAAAGAGTAAAAACCAACTCAGAAAACAGCGTGACATAAGAGTTTGACAAAAGCAAGCACAGCACAGTAAGGCAATAAAACAAACACTTCATAATTATTTTAAATGACAAGGGTACTAATTATATAAATGATCCACACAAAAGTACATGCTCCAAAAAAAAAAAAAAAAGGAAAATACAAAATACTAATCACAATACACAAATGTACTACATATCAGAAGCACATCTAGGGTAATAAAAGTAGAGCATTCACAACGTTATATTAATAAAAATAATATGGTGCTGGCATAATGATAAACATATATATCACTGGAACAGAATTAAGAGTCCAGAAATAAATTCATACATCTACGGTCATTTGATTTTTGACAGGGGTACCAAGACCATTCAGTGGGGAAAGGATACTCTTTCAACAAATGGTGCTGGGACAGCTAGATATACACATGCAAAATATAACACCAAAAAAAAAAAAAAAACCCCACAAAATATAACACCAAAAGCACAAGCAACCAAAGAAAAAACAGATTAACTAGACTTCATCAAAATAAAAAACTTTCGTGCATCAAAGGACTATCAGGAATGTGAAAACACAACTCACAGATGGGAAGAAAATATCTCATATACCTGATAAAAGTCTATTATCCAGAATATATAAAGAACTATTACAATACAAACAAACCAATTAAAAAATGGGCAAAGGACTGCAATAAACGTTTCTCCAAAGAAGGTAAACAAATAGCCAAAAAGCACATGAAAAGATGTTCAACATCTTTTCATTAGTCATTAGGAAAATGCAAATCAAAACCACAATGAGATATCACTTTCCCCCACTAGAATGGCAATAATTTTAAAAAGGGGAGGGGGGATAACAAGTGTTAGCAAGGATGTGGAGAAGTTGGAACTCGTGTTGCTGGTGGGATGCAGAGGTGCAGCCACTGTGGAAACAGTCTGATAGGTTCCTCAAATGGTTAAACTCAGAGTTAACCACAATTCCACTCCCAGGTATACACTCCCAAAGAACTTAAAACAGGTATCAAACAAAAACCTGCACATGACTGTTCATAGCAGCATTATCCATAACAGCCAAAAGATGGAAACGACCCAAATGTCCACTAACTGACGAATGGATAAACAGAATGTGGTATAACCATGCAAAATGAGGTTATTCAGCCGTAAAAAGCAATGAAATACTGGTACACTCTACAACATAGATGAATCTCGAAAACATTATGCCTAGTAAAAGAAGCCGGAAACAAAAGGTCAAACTTAGTGTGATTGATATGAAATGCCCAGAATAGGCAAATCCACAGAGACAGAAAGTAGAGCAGGGGTTGCCGGAGGATGAGGACCAGGGAGGATGGGGGGTGGGGTGGGTGACTGCTAGCAGGTAGTAGGCTTCTTTTTGGAGTGATGAAGATGTTCTGGAATTAGAGAGAGGTGTACAACCTTGTGAACACACTAAAAACTGCCGAATTGTACACTGTAAAATGGTGAATTTTATGGTACCTGAATTATAGTTCAATTAAAAAAGTAGAGCATTTTTTTTATTGTTAAATTTACTTAATTTCATTATTAAGTTTTGTTTTTAAATGTGTCTGTCTTGGGGCTTCCCAGGTGGCGCAGTGGTTGAGAGTCCGCCTGCCGATGCAGGGGACACGAGTTTGTGCCCCGGTCCCGGAAGATCCCACATGCTGCGGAGCGGCTGCGCCCGTGAGCCACGGCCGCTGAGCCTGCGCGTCCGGAGCCTGTGCTCTGCAATGGGAGAGGCCACAACAGTGAGATACCCACATACCACAAAAAAAAAAAAAAAAAAATGTGTCTGTCTTGATGGCGCAGGACATACTGACATCTGAAGGCTTGTGTACCCCGCTCTGCAATGTATTCGCCACCATCAGTGCCTACCTCATCCTCAATCTCCAGCTGCAAACCGATCCTCTAGCCGTTACCTGAACACAGACTGCCAAGCTCTTCCAGGCTCCAGCACCTGTACTCATGCTATTCCTTCTGCCTGGAAACTTGTTCCCTCCGTCCACCTCATTCAATCCCATCTTGTCTTTCTTTTTTTTTTAAAAGAAAAAAAAAAATTTTTTTTTTTGGCCGCACTGAGCAGCTTGCGGGATCCTAGTCCCCTGACCAGGGATAGAACCCGAGCCCCTGGCAGTGACAGCGCCAAGTCCTAACCACTGGACTGCCAGGGAACTCTCCCATCTTGTCTTTCAATACCAAACACAAACATTACTGGCACCTTGAAGCTCCTCTGACTTCGCCCTGCCCCAGCTCGGAAGATGTTCCTTTCTCTGTACATTCCTCTACAGTGGCATTTCTTATATTATATTGTAATGGTTTGGTCCCATGTTAGTCCTCTTCTCCACCCCAGACTAGGACCCCAAGGAGGCACAAATTTCCTCTTCCATCTTGAGCACCAGTGTAGTGTACCATCCCTATCTTACAGATGAGTAGACAGGTTCAGAAAGGTTGAGTAATTTCCCCAAGATCATTAGACTTGTTAAAGGATGGAGTTGAGGAGCTGAGATCAGAACTGGGCCGTCTCAGATCCAGGGTTCTCCCTATCAGCACAGTGAGGTGGTTATTAGCAAAGGCTATGGGATCAGACTGCCTGGGTACATAGCCTGGCTCTTCCACTTATCTTTGTGGCTTTAGGCAAGTTACCTAACCTCTTTATGATTGTTTCTTCATTTATAAAACGAGGATAATAGTCCTACACACAGGATTTTTATGAAGAAAAGATGAAATAGTATATATAAAAGCACTTAGAACACTATTTGGCACATACTAAAGTGCTCAATAATGTGAGTTATGATGTTTATTACTGTCCCACATCGACCTACTGTTTGGTAAACACTGGATGGCTGTGCATCATTCTATGTAGAGATTTCTGGGTTATCCGTCCCACTGCCAAGTCAGGAATCCAGAGAGGGGATGTTAAAGCTCCAACAAGTAAATATACTACAGTGATAATACTTTGATCTTTTTAAGGCTCTTTGGGTTGACCATGGCCAAAAAATAGAGAGGAAACCAAGTATTTTCTACCCCATTCCTAGATAATTTGGAATTTCTTAAGCCACCCAGCATAACCAGAGAAAAATCAGAGGCTCGTCTGGGCTTCAGCTTCTAATCCAAGATGGTGGCAGTAACAACAATAATATTAATGATAATAGCTCTTAATACACATGAAGCATTCTTCTGAATGCTTTACATATATTAACAACGTCATGTTTATTGGAGCAGATTTTCCTACTATAGCCAAGAGAGAAGAAAGTCAGAGTAAAAAGCAGAGTAAAATGGCTGATGGCAGAACCACTCTGGGAATGGGAAGATTTCTCATAAATCTGATGACCTGTGAAGGTGACAAAAGGCCTCTCAGTGTTGAAAGGGACAAGCTCCTAGAAAGTGGCAATGCCCCTCCACCGCCTGGGCAGCAACAGCCTGGCTGCAACTGGGTGGAATTTCTACTTCTAATATCAGGACAATAAGGAAGCTGCTGCCAATACTGCATAAAACTCAAGAACATTAAGCGGTGATGGCTGAGTTCCAGCTGAGCCATTAAGGTAAATGTAGAAGAAAGTGCCAGGTAGAAATATCACTGGAAACTCACAGAACACATTGAGTGTTTGAAGCTGGTACTTAACCTCCTATCGTTGAAGTCAGGGTCTTGCCATGATGGGGCCAAACCGAGTCCACTTACGACTCCCCCCTAACACGCACGTTTCTGTTATCCGGGCTTCACAGTAGTAAGATGTTCATTCCCCTCATCCTTGTGTTTCCTTCCAGCCACAGTCACTCTATGATCGTGTTTGGGATTTTTTCTTCTTCTTGGTTCATTTTACTGTAAGAGTCTGAAGATTATATATCACAACTTTTTTTTTTTTAATATTTCCGGACATAAAAATTCTTTAAAGGATATTTCTTAAGAGGAGATGGGATAGAGTTACCTGTGGGAAAAGGTGGGTGAAGAGAACAGTGCGTATGATTGTGTAGAATGGGAGAGGGAAAGGAGGGAACTGAGGGTAAAAGGAAGAGCGGCCCCTGACACAGAAGCTGCTCAACAACTGTTTGCTGACTGAGAGAATGAACAGCAACAGTGGAGTGAAATACCAGGATTCAAATTGTTCCACCTCTTGAATTTTTTTTTTTTTTTTTTTTGCAGTACGCGAGCCTCTCACCGCTGTGGCCTCTGGTTGCGGAGCACAGGCTCTGGACACACAGGCTCAGCGGCCATGGCTCATGGGCCCAGCCACTCTGTGGCATGTGGGATCTTCCCGGACCGGGGCACGAACCCGTGTCCCCTGCATCGGCAGGTGGACTCTCAACCACTGCGCCACCAGGGAAGCCCTGAAGTTTTTTTTAAATGTAGTATCTTCATTTTGTTTTTTTAAAAAAATATTTATTTATTTATTTGGCTGCACTGGGGCTTATTAGATCACTCCCTAACACCATACACAAAAATAAGCTCAAAATGGATTAAAGATCTAAATGTAAGGCCAGAAACTATCAAACTCTTAGAGGAAAACATAAGCAGAACACTCTATGACATAAATCACAGCAAGATCCTTTTTGACCCACCTTCTAGAGAAATGGAGATAAAAACAAAAATAAACAAATGGGACCTAATGAAACTTCAAAGCTTCCGCACAGCAAAGGAAACCATAAACAAGACCAAAAGACAACCGTCAGAATGGGAGAAAATATTTGCAAATGAAGCAACTGACAAAGGATTAATCTCCAAAATTTACAACCAGCTCATGCAGCTCGATAACACAAGAACAAACAACCCAATCCAAAACTGGGCAGAAGATCTAAACAGACATTTCTCCATAGAAGATACACAGATTGCCAACAAACACATGAAAGAATGCTCAACATCATTAATCATTAGAGAAATGCAAATCAAAACTACAATGAGATATCATCTCACACCAGTCAGAATGGCCATCATCAAAAAATCTAGAAACAATAAATGCTGGAGAGGGTGTGGAGAAAAGAGAACACTCTTGCACTGCTGGTGGGAATGTAAATTGGTACAGCCACTATGGAGAACAGTATGGAGGTTCCTTTAAAAACTACAAATAGAACTACCATATGACCCAGCAATCCCACTACTGGGCATATACCCTGAGAAAACCATAATTCAGAAAGAGTCATGTACCAAAATGTTCATTGCAGCTCTATTTACAATAGCCAGGAGATGGAAACAACCTAAGTGTCCATCATCGGATGAATGGATAAAGAAGATGTGGCACATATATACAATGGAATATTACTCAGCCATAAAAAGAAACGAAATTGAGCTATTTGTAATGAGGTGGATGGACCTAGAGTCTGTCATACAGAGTGAAGTAAGTCAGAAAGAGAAAGACAAATACCGTATGCTAACACATATATATGGAATTTAAGAAAAAAAAAATGTCATGAAGAACCTAGGGATAAG